TTTTTAAACCATAAACTAGACACCTCAATCTTCTATTTGATATATCATACGCTTAATTTGATTGAGAAACGAAGCGAGAATTAATTTCCCAAAACTGGTCCAGAACTGCCACATGTGCAGTAGGCACATGAGCAGTCTGCGTTCCTCCATTTTTTTTCAGGTCGAAGACCAACCCAGATTTTTCCCAAATTTTGACACAAAGTAGAGGACATCTCAACCTTCAAAATGGCGTATGGCACGTCCCTATCGAACCTCTATAGAGGGAGATACGCTCTCCCGAAGTTCGCCTAAATTCTGCCAATTCTACCAAAAATTCGCTAGAGTTTCATTTGTTTTTCCAATAATCCCCAAATTGTACAAGCTCACTAATGCCTCAAAGGTACCTAATAATCCAATAATAATACAGTAATAATCCAATGGGTGGCACACACAAGGACCAACAACGCCTTGGGGCACTTACAACCCAATCCAATTTATATTTATTACACCAATAGCTTACTTTAAAATCCATACATAGTTTCAATCACTAATTCCAATTTCATGCATATTTCATCATACAAGTACTCATAACCTAAAATAGGCCTAAAGCCTTTCCATCATATCATGTCATGCATTAAGTACAATTACAATATTTGCTTTACAATTTACAACTTCAAACTTAAACTTTAACTTACAATCTTCCAATATTACAACTTAAATACAAATTACAACATAAACTGAATAACATAAAGTACTAGACTTAGGCAAAATGACATGAACAAATATGCTAATGAAACTCATCCTACATACATATGAGATGTTCATGCCCTAAGTCTAGCCTAGGCCACATGGCCAACAAAATGCAAAATACTAAGCACTCCACTGCTCACTCTGCGGGCCTTTTGCCCGCTGCTCCAGCTCCACTGCTACCTCCTGAAATAAATGCCCCGAGACGGGGTGAGATATACGAATATATCTCAGTAACCAGAGGTTCTGGAGAAAACTCCGCCTAATGGTTCACTTCGATGCATATAAGTAATATAAAACAACCACTTTCAAAACGGGATATAGCAAGATATTTAGAGAAACTGAAGAATATCGGGATACAAAATACGACGAAGCGGGATGGTAGCTACCAATACCACGCAACGTCCTCGGCATATATAAGCCTACGGGTATCATCCAAGGTGTGTTCCAAGAACCACAACCATGATGCCCCAACCAACCATAACACCCAAGACATTCCTAGTGTGCTTATATCCGGATCACACACCACGACCCTAGGTCAACTGGAACTCCCTCTCGGAGACCTATCCAGTGGAAGTCCGAAACTGCCTGAAGGCTAAAACTGTCTACTGGCCAGATATTCAGTACATAAGTACCCACTGTTATAATGCATGCATGCTCATGTTGTTCTACACTACTCATATACACTTCCTACCGTTGCCATCAACTGGCAAGGTGGAACAAAAAAGGGGAACAAGCCCCAGTACCAAGAGGTTACCTTAAATAGTTTTCTCACTAGCTCCGTAGCAGCTTATCCCTCAACTTGGTACACAGCAGAATGCCTACACAGAGGACATTCCCAATCACTCACAATTCAAACAATACATGCTAATTTACAAATATACATGCATTGAACCAATTACTTACCTCAATTCACTTGGTCCAGGAACAAGGGCAACTCACTGATTCAAGGTTCGGAATTCAAGTCGACGTACGGCAACCTATACAATCACGTACAACCATCAGTACGTGTCAAATAACGTCAAAACGCAAAAATCACAAAATCCTCCCCATCCTCCCTTGATGGTTCGACCATTCAAGTGTTAATTTGAGATTTATTTTTCTAAATTTTCTTTCTCATTTTATTACCCATCCTTAGGTTGCCATAAGGCCAATTCAAGTGTCGTTTTTACGTTTTACGTCTTTTACTCATCGTTTTGCGTAATAATTCACTCTAGGTTCATTTAGGTCCCTAACACAAGTTATTATTTTTCCATTGATTCTAACACTTTCCAACCACCACACAACTCATGTAAGTACCATATAACTACACAAATCATCATCCAAATCATTTTTCGACATCAATTCACTCATTTTTCCTCAAAGGGTCGAATTGTGTCCTATGACACTCCAAGGAGTTTTCAATCAATTTCAACCATTCCACACCTTCTATCATCCTATTTTATCATCATACGATCATACAACAACTCATTAATCAATCCTAACACATTTCCAAAAATCCAAGTCATGACAATCCTCAAAATTTCTAAGTTATAAATTCATATTTTTTACCAATAAATTTCATCGCATTTCTAGCTCTAACACATCATTCTAACACATTATCATCTAATACACATTTTCCAATTGAGCTCTCTAACATCACAACTCATAAAATCAAGCTTTAGGGTTCAATAATCCAATCTCATTAATCAAACAACCAATAGGTGTAGAAACTTACTCAAAAGCTAGGCAATGGGCTCCTCCTACACATACTCTACCATTGGAGCACTTGGAAGCTCCAAGAACATCAAATTTCTCCTCCAAGTCACGGCTGAAAATGGGCAGGATCCCCTCCCACACACGGTTTCAAGGCTCAAGAGTGGTACCAATGGGTTTAGAAGGTTCTCCCCAACAAATTTTAACACAAGAATCAAGTGCTTTGGTGGAGAAATGGCCAAGTTAGGTCCAAAGGAAATTTTGCACAATGAATTTGGGGGGGGGGGGGGGGAGGGCTGACGGCTCGGGTTTGGGAGGGGAGAAGGAGATGGAGAGATGATGAATAGTGAAATGATGATGTGTTTAAGTGAATTTTAAGTGGGGTGGGTCCCGCGCCACCTCACGCGATTTAAAACGCGTCTAAACTTTCACTAAACGTCCGAAATTTCAAAACCTATTTAGAAATTTTAATTTTTAACATTAACTATTCTCCTTTAATTATACTTAATCAGATGAATCCGGAGTTTTCCGGTCGTTCGGAGAAAACACTGTTTTAAGTTGTTGCGCGCGCGATTGACACGTTTCCCCAAACTGACTTAATTCCATCAAATATTATCAGAAATCATATTTCCTAGTTCTATAGACCATTTACAACTCATATTTGAAACCTAGAGCTCAAAACTCAATCGGCACGTTTTACGATGCAATCATACCGCATTATTTTTACCCACGAAAAATACTATTCACTGATTTTTCTGAAACTTGCCTATCCACTCAATTTTTCGTTCTGAATCCATTTCCAGGGTTGTTATTTTTATCTGTGACCTTCTACTCAATTTTTATCTTCCTAGGGTTGCGTGTTGGCTAATTACCGTTTTGCCCTTTCTTTGTATTTTGGCCTAATCTTTAGGATTTTCACTGAATCTTCACGTAATTACTCACTTAATAGTTTAAACACTTAATTTAAAATTGTGAGGTGTTATAGATGCCAAGGAAGATGTTACTACAGACCTATAACCTTCTGCATGCAATGTCAAGAAATGAACGGGATTGTGATTATTATCATCGGTAGGATATTTTCATAAGTTTTCTTAAATTATCGTCAGTTTCTACTAAACAATAACAGGTAGATATGTATGTGTACACATACATACAGACATACCTTGTTGTATAATAAAAGTTTTAATAAAAATTTTATTATTAAGAGAGTTGCATAAAAGGTGTCTTAAACAAATGCTAAGGGGTGCATATGCAATTATGCATACATGACTTATGGCTTATGGCCTATGTTACTGGAGAGGGGAGGGATAGATGGGAGATTCTAATATACTCTAAGAGTATTCATCCCATACTGGTCACACTGTGACATGGCAGAGCTGTTAAACTTGAGTATCAGAGCATATAAGAATTGCATGGTATAGAGAGCAAGTTAGGTGTTTGAAAATTTTCAGAAACTAGTCTGCTATAAACATGTACTACCTGCACCTAATATTGGGCCAACATAATGTATTTTAACCTTTTGTACACTGTCCTTGTTGGATAGCTGACTCAATTGACATTCTTGAATAGACATTTGACTGCAGTCTCAAATTCGTTTAAGTCCTTGATGGATAGAAAGTAGGTAGACAACAATTTCTTCACATAATTATGATTAAGAGGAGGAAAATATAGTATTGGAAGGTTCTTCAAGTATCAAAATTTAGTATATGACGGATGAATACAAAATTGTAGGGGTTATTTATACTTATGTTAATTATATATTCCTAAGCACAGCCCAAAATACAACTCCTATCTATACTCAAGCCGTTATTGTAAGAACCTGCACCGTTAATTAAAGAAGTTAATTAATTAATTATGTGAAATTAGGAAATAATTCCATAATTGACCCTAATAATTATTATGAGGCTTAAATAAATATGGTAAGTGATTTATAATGCTGAAAGTCGCTTTTCTGACGAAAAGTGCAGATACCGGTTCTGCTACTCGGTATAAATGCGTACCGATGAAGTATCCCAGAAAATTATAATAAGTGCATGAATATTCCTAGAATATTATATAGGACTTATACAACAAGTTTCAAGTTAAAATAATTAGAACTGGTGCCAAAACTGATACTGGCTATGGAAAAGCGCTTACAGGAAAGGTGCTGCGAAAAATAAAATAAAAATATGATAAATCTTAGAAAAATGAGTAGGTTCAGATTCCAAAGTTTGGGATTAAAATGCTAAGCATATCATTTAGCGCTAATACAGTGCGATTAAACTTAAGTTGCCTATATAAGGCCTTGGCTCATGATCTTAGGTCATTTGTGTTTCCCCCTACGTGAGTTTTTGCTGAAGTTCAGTTAGCCACCTTGCCACCACCTCTTCCCCACCTCTTGTGAGCCAAGTTGTCACCTTTCTTCACGAAATCTTCTTCCAAACACTTGGTGTGAGTGAGAGTCTTCATTGGGAGTGAGTTGTGACCTTGTGTTCTGAGTTGTGTTGCTGTCTTGGGAGGGTTTTGGGGCTGAGTTCCTTTGTTTGGGTTGTGGAGGCCATTTTCTTGGTGGTTGGTACTCCAAGAAGCAATCTTTATGAAGAAAAGATCTTGCTTGCTTGGTATTTTCGTGCCTTTGTGAAGTCAGAACTGTAGAGGCAGTGTGGTGAGCTCCAAGAGCCTTGGTTACTCTGTTTTGAGCTTGGGTGAGTGTCACCAACCATGACCATGTGTTTTCTTAGTTAAAAATGGAATCTTGATGCATGTAACAAGTTAAAGATCATAACTTAAGGTTGGGTAAGCTTAAACACACCTAGAAATGCATGTGTTAGGTTTTGTAATCGGTAAAAATGGATCCTTGGGAAAGATATCTCGCGAAAATGCAGAATCTGTGTTCTGTCGCGAAATATCCAGATATTGGGTTGGAAATATCCGGATATTGATATCCGGATATGGATATCTGGATATGGGGTTCTGAATATCCGGATATTGATATCCAGATATTCCCCCGACGAATATCCAGATATTCTGGGTTTTCGAAGAACAGTAGCTTACTGTTCATGAAGAACAGTGCTATGGGTTTGTGGACCCTAGTTTGTGGAAGTTGAACTTCTGTAATAATTATCTAAGTCAGAATCTAAGTGATTAAGGGCTTTTGGCTTTGTGAGAAGCCTAAAGACATAAAACGTAAAGGAAAGACGTTGTCTTTATATTGTACGCTTGTAGAATTGAATATTGATATGTTAACTGGTCCATAACAGATTGTGATTTTGCTGTGTTTGGGCTTTAAGCTTGTGTGGACTCTTGGATTGGATAGTTAGCTTAAGAGGTAAGCTTTCGTGTCCTCGGTTTAGCCATTGTGTGATTCCATCATACCCCATGGGGGAATGGTTTATATTCATGTTGTGTTACATGCTTTGATATTTGAAATGCTTTTGAGCTGATATGTGCAATGGCTTATGATATGTATGTGGTGTTCACCCGATGGGATGTGATCCTAAGGGTAGGTACGACAGGGCGCGTACTGTGTGGGTAATAGACGTATTCCTGCATTTCTCTGGCCAGTAGAATAGTATTGACACACATGACATGATTATCTGCTGCATTGCACTTATTTGGAAATGATATTGTTAAACTGCTTTTAGAACTTATATTGCACATGTAAGTGAGCTTGGGGTGGAAGATCCTTGAGGACCCCTTGTCTTACTGAGATTTCTTGTTTAGAGATCTCACCCCACGTTTGGGGGCGCTTATTTCAGGTTCAGGTAACTTGGGGGCTGATGCCTCTGGCGGCAGGACGCCGGAGCTTAGTTGATTATATTTATGTTGTATGCTGACCTGACTGGATTTGGATGCTGTTTATGTTTTCTGCCATTAGTATAATATTTGAGTTGAGACTTCTGTTGGACTTGTGCCTTATTTGGGTGAGCATGGGGTTTGTCCATGCCGCTTTTATGTTAGTACTTTTAGTTTGAGTTGTATAAAATATCAGGGTTTGTCCGTCTACGTGTTGTAGTTCTGTGACTAGAGACATATTGATGTTAGTAATTTAATGAGGTATTTCTTTTAGCTGTTTAATTGCAATTTACATACAGGCGATATTTTGAAAATGATTAAGTAAGCAAGTTGGTAATGAATAATGACGTCATAATTGAAAGGAAAAAGATATTCCACATTTTTAATTAAGCGCCGCTTAATACGATGATATGATAACACTACCGGATATATACAGGGTGTTACAGTTATAGAATAAAATTTCACGTGCTAGTCATGTAAGCATTTTCCTTGAACAAAGTGATACCAAAATGGGTGGAGTGATGAGATTGTTGGGGAGTTGAAGTTTGAGGGATTAAGTTGGCTAAATTAACTCCTAAGGGATGAAATTGATGAAGGATGATAAAAAATAGATTTTATGCTGGCTTTACTATGAAATTCTTTTATGGTATATATTTTTTCGTCTAACCTTTGTCTCCTTTTTTTATTTTTTAGCAAATAATTGTTCATTACTTCAGTGCTTATATGTTTCTTTCTCTACTTTATAGTTTGGTTCAGTTCATTGACTCTTATGATCCACCACTGAAAGGCTTACAGGAAGACCTAAATTTCGTGAGCCCTCGTATTAGAGAGGTTAATCTCGTCCTTTTATGTGTATCAATATTATATAAGTAATTTACTAGTACCAATGATAAAGATGATGAGTACGTTTTCTAACTAGTTCTTTCTCTTCATGATTCTGTCTAGAATTGAGAGTTATAGTAACAACATAATTTTTTGTTTTTTAAATACAATATACAGTGATGGTTTATGGCTATTCATTTGGGTACAACTCCATATCTAGTTGGAGTATCCGACTCAGAATTTAATTGCATAAGAAGTGAAGTTCTGGTCTGTAAAATGCATATTGACTAATTTTGATTTTGCATAAAATCTTTGTCAACTTTCTGGGCAGTTCATGTTCAAAACTGTCAAAATTATGGAACCTGAGTTACAGTAATTCCTCATTATATTTCTCCCTCAACCGAGGTCTGTATATATACATAAAATGATTGACTTCAATTAGCAACTGTACTTTAGTAACAAAAATAGGAAACTAACAAGTGTTGGGTATGGCTCATACTTCACATGATGATGTTGGCCCTAATTGTCGGGGTCAGCAGAAAGGCAAACGGGGTCCGGGGGGCAGCTCCCCCAGGCCCGTAGAGGCTAGGTAATGTTTAGGCCTCTGTTTCTATTGTAATTTTCTTAGCAGTTTGGGCTTGGGCCCATGAATAGCTGTTGTTAGGGTTTTTTGTAATCCTATTTATATCTGCCTTGTAAACCGAGAGACTTGTAACGAGTGGCGGTGAGGTGAATATAGTACAGACAAGCTGGACGTAGCCTATATTGGGTTAACCAGGGTAAATCATCGTGTCAATCTCTCTACTCTTATCTCTTTTTCTGTTTTCTCGATTCTGTGTGATTGTCGATTTCCAACAATTGGCATCAGAGCTTTGGTTCTGCGACCAGGGTTCCTGACAGATTGGGGTTTCGCGATTTAGGGTTTTTTCTTGGCATAGATAAAACTGCGAAATTGATCTGGAGAGGATGTCGACTGGCCAATCACGGGTCGAGGTTGAAAAGTTCGGAGGAAAAAAGGTTCGAGTTATGGAAGCTGAAGACGGAGGCTCTGCTCGTTGACAGGGACGTGTGGTACGTGATCGAAGATGATAAGTCGTCCGTACCAACAAAACTTGTCGGTGAAGAAACGTCAGGTGATAGCGAGTCGAAGGAGTTGAAGGCGTGGACCAGAGACGATCGAAAGGCGCGAAGCCTGATCTGGTTATGCCTGGCTGATAACGTTCTGGTGAATGTAACTTCTGAGAAGACCGCAAAGGATCTCTGGACGAAGCTGGGAAGTCTCTATCAGAGCAAGTCACTCGTGAACAAGTTGTTCCTGCGAATGAGGCTGTATAATCTGCGGATGAGCGAAGGTGATTCTTTCTCTGCTCATTTAAATGAATTTAATACTATTTGTGCACAACTTTCGTCTATAGACATTAACCTGGACGAGGAAGACAAAGCTTACACCTTGTTGTGTTCACTGCCCAACTCTTGGGAGCACATCATTGTGTCAATTGGTACTAGTGTTAATAAACTGTCGTTTGAGACGGTTGTTGCTGCCTTATTGTCTGAGGAGATGAGAAGGGTAGGTTCTGAAGGTACCAACAATGAGGCTCTGGTTGCTAGAGGGAGGAGTGATGACAAATCAAAGTCTGGTCACAGAGGAAGATCGAGGGGACGATCAAAGTCCCGTGATAAATCTGATAAATCTGATAAATCTGATAAATTTGAAATGAGGTGCTGGAGGTGCAAAAAGGTTGGACATCTGAGAAGGAATTGCAGAAGTAAAAGTGTAGGTCCTGAGAAGCGGGATGATTCACAACCGTCTGCTTCGGGTACAAAGAAGGATGATGATGATAGTACAGGGGACCTGTACATGGCGTTTGACAGTCATAATGACTGTAATGATTGGATTATTGACACTGGAGCATCGTTTCATATGACACCTCATAGGGAGTGGTTCTGCACCTATGAATCGTATTCTGGCGGTACAGTTAGAATGGGAGATGACACGACTCATGCAATTGTGGGGCGTGGGAAGGTAAAGCTGAAGATGAGTGACGGGACAATCAAGAATCTGCCGGGTGTGATGCATATTCCGGGGCTTACCAGAAATCTGATCTCCGTTGGTAGTATGGCAGATGCTGGTATTAATTTTAGTAGTGACAAGTATTCTTGCAAGCTGACTCGAGGAGCTTTGGTTATTGCAAGAGGAGAGCGTCATGGTAAATTGTGGAAACTGCTGGGTAGCACAGTATTCAATGGTGAAAGCTATGTTTCAGAACAGGCGGAGGAGGACACTGCTATGTTATGGCATAGGAGGCTGGGGCATATTGGAGGAAAAGGTCTGGAGACTCTAACATCAAAGAAGTTGGTGGATGGAATTCCGAGCTGCTCTATGGGGTTTGGATTTTGCGAGCATTGCCTGCAAGGGAAGCAAAATCGGGTATCTTTTGATTCCATAGGAGGAAGAGCTGAGGGGGTTCTGGACTTGATACACAGCGACGTGTTTGGCCCCACACCTGTAGCATCACATGGAAAATCAAGGTATTATGTTTCTTTTACTGATGATTTTTCAAGATATGTGTGGTTATATTTCTTGCGCAGCAAGGATGAAGTGTTCGATAAATTCTGCGAGTTCAAGGCTTTGGTGGAAAATCAATTTGATCAAAAAATCAAGGTGCTGAGAACTGACAATGGAGGGGAGTTCTGTTCAACAAAATTTGACCAGTTTTGTGCGAGCAATGGGATTGTAAGACAGAAGACTACGCCCTACTCACCTCAACAGAATGGGGTGGCAGAGAGGTTGAATCGATCTCTCATGGAGAAAGCACGGAGTATGCTGAGCGGTGCAGGCTTGACAACTGAGTTTTGGGCAGAGGCAGTGGCTACTGCTTGTTATCTGAAGAACAGATCTCCTACATCAGCTTTGAAGGAGAAGACTCCGTATGAAGCACTGTTTAAAAAAAGGCCAGACGTATCTCATATCAGAGTGTTTGGCTGTGAAGCTTATATGCACGTACCCAAGGAGAAAAGAAACAAGCTTGACAGTAAATCTGAAAAGTGTATCTTTATTGGGTACAAGGATGGCGTCAAAGGTTATAAGTTGTGGAATCCGGATACTAGAAGTGTAACTTACAGCAGAGACGTTGTATTCAGAGAATCTAAGTTGAATCAGATTTTTCCTGAAGCTCCTGAAAAGTCACAGACGGTGGAGTTGGATGTGGGTTTGAAAGAGGATACAATAAACTCACAGATTGAATTGGAAAATTTGAATTCTGAAGCTGCTGAATATAATGAGGTAGAGGATGAATTTTCTGAAACTGAGGCTGAGGTTGAAGCACCAGTGCTGAGGAGATCCACGAGGGAAAGAAGACCATCTGAGAGGTATACACCTGAAAATTATATCCTGTGTGCTAGTGATGATGTTTGTGCATTTAGTATTACAGGTGATGATCCGAGCACTGTAAAACATGCGAGGAGCTCGGAGGATGCCCAGCAGTGGGAGGAAGCTATGAAAGAAGAGATGAAGTCTCTGATGAAAAACCAAACTTGGAGTTTGGTGAATCTACCTGCAGATCGAAAAGCAATTGGTTGCAAGTGGGTGTTCAAGAAGAAGGTTGGTGCCAATGGGGAGATTGAACGCTACAAGGCTCGATTGGTTGCAAAGGGATATTCACAGACAGAAGGGGTTGATTATGGTGAGGTATTTTCACCTGTTGCAAAGTTAAATTCCATAAGACTGGTTTTGTCTGTAGCAGCTGCATATGACCTAGAGGTGGAGCAGCTGGATGTGAAGACAGCTTTTCTTCATGGTGATTTGGAGGAGGTTATTTTCATGAAGCAACCAGAGGGGTTCATTGCAAGAGGCAAAGAGGAGCTAGTCTGCAAGCTGAATAAATCTCTGTATGGCCTGAAGCAGTCCCCAAGGATGTGGTACATGAAGTTCGACACTTATGTGCTGAAGCTTGGCTTTGACCGTTGTGATGCTGATCACTGTGTTTATGTGAAAAGGTTAGAAGGTGACTTTGTTATTCTAACTTTGTATGTTGACGACATGTTACTCGTTGGAAACAGTTTGAAAATGATCAGCACTGTTAAAGGACTGCTAGCAAAGCAGTTTGAAATGAAAGATCTAGGCGCTGCAAATGTGATCTTGGGTATGCAGATTAAGAGGGAGCGTGACAAACGAAGATTATGGTTAAGTCAGCAGAAGTACATAGAAGATGTTCTGAAGAAATTCAAGATGACTGACTGCAAGCCTGTGTTGACTCCCATGTCTACTGGTTCTAAGTTATCGGCTGACCAGTGTCCCAAGACTGAAGAAGAAAAAGAAGAGATGGCGTCAGTTCCTTATGCTAGTGCAGTAGGGAGTCTGATGTATGCCATGATTTGTACTCGACCTGATATTGCTCAAGCAGTGGGAGTATTGAGCAGGTATATGTCCAAG